AGACCTTTTGAAAAACTTTGATAACATTTTAATATGTTGTATAAAATATCTACTAAAGTATATTTACGTCCTTTCTGGCGTAACTTAACAATTTAACAAAGATACATTTCAAATTGCAAAAAAGGTGCAATCTTCTGTATATTTTAGTCCAAATATATCTTTAATTTTCAATCAATCATAGACTACTCACTTCTAATTGACAGGATACCAAACTACTTAAATTACATAATAAGTTGCTATGCAATTCTCTCAGTTCTCAAGTTAGGTTTTATGCACCATTTGTGCACTATTTCTTGGGTAACCACCTCAGCTGGAGGATAACTTACTTTTACACTTGCACACTAATAGTATATATATCCCTCTATATTTCTGAAAAACAAAGTTCTACCTATAAGCATGCACACAGATAAATAAAAAAAATAATTACATATTCCAGAAAACCACCTTTCTACCTAAAGTCACAACTTATAACACACCAGCTTAGCAATTTAAATATTATATATAAACAGTACCACACAATGAAATTTAAATCAAATGTTAGTGAAATTTAACACTTACATTGGGTACTTTTACTCCCTGCAGTTTTATCACAAATGTTTAGTGCTTCAAAAGTTCACATAGTCACTAATAATAAAAAAAAAAAACAGCAGAAGATTAATAATCAAAGGTTTCAGCAAGTTTTATAACAACAAACTCATAGCAATAAACAAATTTTCACATTATTACCACAATTCCTTTTGATGCAAGCATCTTTGTTTTTTATTTGACAGATCTATTCTACCTTTCCTATCATAGAGTTTAACAACATTATTAACTCTTTCAGCACGAGCTCGTTCCCTGGGACCAACTTCGTAATCATTTTCTGCTTGTTATAGTTTTCATGCTATAACTTAAATTAATAAGTAAATGTTAACGAAATTTGGCAAATTATCAGTAAATATTACAATTCTTTCATATGCAAAACATCAAAATTTTTTTTATTAAGTCTTAAAGTTTGTAAAGCAATGTTTTTCTCATGCCTTTTTTTTTCTTTTTGCATGTTGCCTATCTATTATGCAAAGTAATTTTCATTTTTAAAAATACTTTTATGCATCAGAAAATGTTAAATTTCACATGCAAAATCTTTATAATGTCAAGATAGTTATCAAGCTTTATATTTTATCTGTTATTTTCAGTAATTAATCTCTGTACAGGTTTGGTACATTTAACAGATCTCACAACCACCATAAAAAATTAGGAAATATAAATTATGCCTCTTTTATTCTAGAATGAACACAAATTATAACACGAAAACAAAAATGTTTAGACTCAATAGCTTAAATCTCATAACATTATACATTTATATATATTTATTATATTGACTTTTCAGCCATGCCTGGCTAACAATACAAAGGTTACAATGACGTGTCTCATGTTCACTCATGTTATCCTATAAATTAACACAAAACTGACCTTTGGTCTGTCAAAGTATTTTGTCTTAGCTGTGTTTTAGTAGACAAGTATTTTGTAAAATACAGTCATATTTCAATTATTATACATTATATATGTATATAGATTACTGAAATTTTGAAACAAGTTCTTAAACATATTTTTTCCTAAAACATAGAACACTAAATAAAGAAGTAAAGCAAACAATTATCTCTTCTAGTTATGACCTTTGTACTCGGTTATTGCTTCATGTAGGTTGCCAAGTTTTTAGGTTTTATATAAACATTTGAATAACTAAAAAAAATCATAAATTACTACAATAATACCATATAATTCCACTATAATTTACTTAGATTTGTAACTAAGATGTATTTTAGTCTAAAAAAATATGAAATTTCAAGCAGATTAAAGACACATCGTACCTCACTGAAATATAGGTTTACAAGAAGGAAATGGTGCCAAGTCCATTAAAATGGCTTAGAAAGCCACTAGGTGAAATTTTGAGCTTTCAATAGTCATATATGGCTTCATGTCATATATAGAAGTAAGTATATAAGGGAGCATTTCCAAAAATGGAAAGAGGTAGGCGGGATGCCACTGTGTTTGATTTATTACATGAACAATATCTTAGCAAAATAAAAACATAAGAAGCTCTTATTTTATATTCTAGCTTGTCAATATTGGTAATTTGAGCTTCTAATTCTTTCAAAACTATAGCCTTAGTATTTTGACTTCACAAACATCTAATTTGAACCAGTGCTGCATTCAACATACCACGTGACACACAAAAATCGATGTTTATCTGTGTTTTTTTAATATTTACTTTTAAATTAACAAATTGAGTAATGTATAGTTCTAAAATTTGAATTATAATCTACAGTATGGTACCAAACTTATTGACATAAATTCATAAAATAGTAGCTCAATAAAATTTTGAATGCGAATCAACAAACGAGATAGCATGACCTGTATCGAAAGAGTTAAATATGAAAAATATTTTTCCCTGTTTTGCTTTTACAACTATTTCATCTTATTATTCATAAACTATTACTTAAATACAAAGAAAAAATGTTACTAGGTTACACTGAAATATCTTCCATTTTAACAAAAATTGCTGTATTAAGTTTGTAGTACATTTGTGTTTAAGTGAATCTAAATATGGAAGCTTAAAGAAAATATAAAAAACTTGCATCAGATTAATCTTGCTTGAGTTAAAATCTGGCATAATTAAGTTTTAAAACAATGAGTTTAATTTTAGTAATTTGATTTTACCATTGATTTGAGATTAATGTTATTAGAACAGCTAGTTAACTGCTTTTATTACTGAAGTGTAAACAGGCAGAAAAATGCATGTTATAACTAATTTTACTAAGTAATATGTAGCAACTAGCTAAAGATTGGCTCATGTAGCACCATTATTTGTATATGAAATAAGCTGTCAATTGACAGTCTCTAAAGATGGAACAACTGTAATTAAACACACTTCATATTCAACTTGGTTTGTTATACTAAACTACTAAATTCAGTCATAAGTGATCTCTAAACTTAAGCAAGTGCTGCACCATTAAATATTCTAGTTTTTTACCAGAAGTTTTATTTTTGTATAACATCTAAATATTTGTTGTTATTCACAGGAAGAAATGAAAGGAAAACATTTTTTTCTCTTGTAGTCGTACTTAACATTTTCAGTTTTGATTTAGATTCAAGAATAAAATTTGTGCTTGTTGATTGATAGGGCTATTTTTGGAATCCTCCAACCCTCAGGCTGATTTTCCTTGGATTTGCTCATGGCCTACTCGCATCTTATATATTATGTGTACATTTAAATTGTAAAACTTTTAGATAACTAGTCTTCATCCTGAATACTATTAATCTTATCAAATAAAGGAGCTCTTATCTACCTTTTTTAAAGTACTAAATGGTTCCATCTTCATTTATTGTAAATGTAACAAATTGACTATTATGTTCTCTATTAAGATAATTTTGTATAGAACTTGGTATCTGTTCAAAATTTCCATTACTACTACTTAAACTTTCCATTGCTTCTTAGCAAGAAGTACTTTACTTAATTTGTCAAATATTTTTATATCATATTGGATCCACTACAATGTGACCTCAATTCACGTACATGAACATGCAACTTTGAGATCAACATCATTTTCCAGCATTAAGAACTAAGTGCTAAACAAATGTAATGAATCTGTAAATATAGGACAGTTGACTTAAACTGAGAATAAATGAGTACAATAGTGTTGTTCATTTATTGTTAGTTTTATAAGTAATTGCATGACTAGAACAGTAGTAAACTCTAATAAAAGTATAATGTTTCAACAAGATTATGTCATCATCAGGAGTGAAATCTGTATCTTGATGAATAATTCACTCTACCCTTAAACTTTTGACTGTAGTTTATAATGTTTTTCTATGCTTTTTACTTGTGGCAATTTCATATGTTTATTATTTCTTCTGCTCAGTTTTGAACTAGAGACCTCTTACACTTCATGTGGCTGCTCTACTAAATGAATTAAAGGGTTAATCCTTTAGAAATCGCTAGAAAGGCACTTTTTAACAACTTAAATTACCACATTTTCCCCCTCTGACAAACAAGGCCTGTCCTTGGACTTTACCTCAGGCCCTGTGTTGGACAGCAATTTTTCTTGTGGTAATTGAACTTTGATTTTATTACTTCCTCAGCTTAGTTTAAAACATGTGAAACCTCATACTTAAAAGGAGAATGCCCTACTAACTGAGCTGAAGGGGTTAATGGTTGCTAGTAAAACACATATTAACAACTCAAAGTACCATAATGCTAAATGTTGTTTTAACTACATTACACATACATTTATATCATTTAAGTTATAGCAATCAAGTAAAACTTCTCTTAGATTATATAGGGTGTCACAAGTTATTAATTCAACATAGAAAACGTTATCCTAGAACACTTATCTGTATAATATTTTAATATGGTAGCCACATTGTGCTACTGTATTATTTATATTTTTAGTGAAATTAGCAAAATAAATTCATTTTTTCATTCTTTCGGGCATATTTGTGAAAATTAAATATATTTTTATATATAGGTTTGAAATTGTACAATATGTGATCTGTTATGTATTTTCTGAAGTAAAAAAAAAGTTTTCTGTTAATTATTGTAAGTAATAGATTGTTTTTCGTGTTTATTTACTAACATGAATATTTTTTTAGGAATTTGTTTTCTATTATAATTATTAGGTGTTTATTATGTTAATATGTTTATCATGTTTTCACCATAAATTTTTTAATTTTATTTTTTTTGTTTGCTCTTGTAATTGTAATGATTGTGTATAAATTAGTTTATTTTTGGTGATTATTACCTTAGATAATTTTTTACTTTATTAATATATTTTTTGTATGTGTTAATGCTTGAATATGCATGTTTAAACTTGATGATTTTGAGAACTTTTTTGTATGCTTCTGTGAGTTGGCTACAAACTGCACTACTCTATTAATTCATTGTACAGACAATAATTCTACTAAGCTAACTGTTGTCTTTTTTATTCTACTACCTTCTCATGCTCCTTTGGGACTTTTAGCAAGCTTAAATGGAAGACGTAAGTTACTTATTATATGATTTTTCAAAAATGTATTTTATAAGAAAAGATAACAAATAACATGTTTAAGTGTAATGCAAGATATCAACATGCTGTAAACCTGTTTTTATTAAAATACCATTTTTTTGTTTATATTTTAGTGTAGATAGGAAACTGTTTTACTTTTAATTATGTTCTGTTAATAAAGACATATTTTTTTTGTGTTCCAGTTTCATTAATTGCATAAAAAGTGAAGTGTTAACATGCATGAGATTTAATGTTAGGATATTATCTGAATGAATAATTCTTTTTTTTATTGTGAATTAATGTTGTCTAGTTTTGTGTTGTTTGATATGTCTTTCATAATAATGCATAGTGATCACCCTACTAATATTTCATAATTTCCATTTCAAGATTTTATTTCATTTAATCAGAAATGTTCAAAACCTTAACTTTGCATCTGAGATATATAAGTGTGCAAAACAAAATATTTCAAGAAAACACACTTTTCATCTAGTTAACTTTGTATTTAGTCTCTCCTTCTTAATATAAATCAGTTAATTTTATATTTAATTTTGTGGGTGTAATACTGAGATGGAATACTGACATTTTTATAAAAATCTTTGTATTCTAGAGAGATTAATTTTTCAACCATATTTTTTGTAAATTCTTTTATTGGTTTTTGAAGAATATAATAACTGCCACCTTAAATGTTTTTCTAGGTTTCTTGTCAGTTTTATGGTGGATGCTCGTGGAGGTGCCATGCGAGGATGTCGACATTCAGGTGTAAGAGTTATAATCCCTCCTCGTAAAGCACCCATGCCCATGAGGATCACGTGCCGTTACTTAAGAAAAGAGAAGCTTACCCATCCTCCTCCACTGATGGAAGGAGAAGCTTGTGCCTCACGAATATTAGAGATTGGACCTGTTGGGGCCAAATTCTTAGGGTAAATTCAGTTTTAAGAATTTGCTTTTGTTTATGTATGATTAAAAAGCTATTTTGTTTTTATAACCCCCACTGTGAGGTATTGCAGAGTGAGTTATATCAGTTTGCCCATTTCTGTCTGTCTGCCTTATGTCTCAATCTTGTGGATAGGGTATCTCAAGATTGGATGAATGGATATTGACCAAACTTAAACAACAAGTACTAGACCTGATTAACTCTTGGAGGTTGTTAGTTAAGTTCAAAATGTCACTGATACCAAGAACATTTGTCCCAATCTTGTGAACAGGCACAACATCATTAAATTGGGGAGACTTAAACTGACAGTGTAGCATTATTAGGAGCATAGGTGTTTCATAAACACAACTTACACTTGTAACAGTAGTTTTCATAAAGTTTCATCACGAGTTACTCATAGATGGTGATAGTGTAATCAAGAATCTATATTTCAACACTGGATTGTCCATGGCCACATACGTTTATAAAGATCAGCAACAGCTGAGAGATATGTGAAATCAAGATGCCATAAGGAAATGAACTTCTAGATCTTTAAAGATAAATTATTATTGGAAAAAAATGTGTATTATGAGTATCTAGAACATTCCAGCACACCTAATCATACCAAAGCTCAATGTGGGCAATTTGATAAAGAAATACAATACCACAGGACTTACTAATGTGGAATATTGGCCTATCTGACCAAAAATGATCACTCTTCATCCATGTGAACTTTGTAAACATGTGTAATGAAACCACGCATTTGGCATTACATTCATCAGGACTGAAATGAGAGTTAAGGATTGCATATCACCATGTTTTCTCTCTGCAAGGAGCTGATTTCTACAGGTTTTCATAAACAGACTAGTACTTATGAATGTGAGATTTCTGCTTTTGTGGCACCTTGAGCATCAAAAATGTGGTGAAAAACAGTGGAAAAACCATAATGGGAAATGTTGATTCCACTGTTTTTTGTTTGAGGTGGATAGATAGTTTTATTTTTTTTGGTATTAACTTGAGTTTACCTTGATTATGACTATGTCATCCCAGAGTTGTGGTACTACTAGTGTTGTGGTCTGTGGCTGTTTTAACTGGCTTGGAATTGGTACATTAATAATAGTTAACAGAACCATGATAATGTCCTTTATCACACCGCAATGTCCATTCCAGCAGTTGTTAAATTAGATAAAATTCATAACCTACCTCTTCATGCTAGAGCCCTTACCTAAATCTAGTTGAACCAGCAGTCCAAAATGTTTTGGATTGCTGTGTGAAATACTGAAAAATAGACTTGGAAATCTCAGTGCACTTGGAGCTGTTTACAAAAAGAGTAGTAAAAGTGACAGTCTTTTCACCAGATGTGTACTAAAAGTTCATGTTAAGTGTTAATGGTCAGTGACAGAAGTGTGGCTTTTTCTTTTTAAAATGGAATCCCAATGGGAAACAGGATACTTCTCAAAGTGTGGTGCCCTAATAATTTTGATAATATATTGTATATACGTGAACAACATAGAATTTGAAAGGCTTCAGCAAGGCTTTAGGCAGTGAAATTATAACAAATATAGATGTTTAATTCACTTGGTATTAATAATCTTTCAAAATGTTTGTTTAATTTAGTGCTGTAATGTATATTTGTTCTGCCCCATAAAGTATTAAGAAAGAAATCACTTTATAGATACCTTACAGTTAAAGTATTGTAATGATATTATTGTTGCAGATTTTCATTTGGACACATCTTTTGAGTTACCTTCATAAAATATGTAAAAGAAAATAATTAGATCTCATATTCAGGACTGTCAGATTTTAAGAATAATGTGTGTGTATATATATATATATAAGTTCTTCATTTTGCCAATTGTTGAAATAAATAGCTTTTACTTATATTTCTTAATAGTATAAGTATATACTATGTTGTTGTTGGGCTTAGGATTCTTCTATAGTAGGTGTCT